GTAAGCTTTGAATACTGCCACTCATGTGTACACTGTAAAAGGGTTAAAATAGCAAATTTTTATATATTACCACAATTTTAAAAAAAGAAAAGAGGTTAAATATTTTTCCCAAGGTGAAACAGCTTGAGCCCAGTTTTCAAGGCAGTTCCCTTTCTTTTTGGGGTACTCCTAGGAAGATATGCATACATTTACATTTGTTTTTTTAATTCTCAGGTCTCCCAGATTTGCCCCCAGCTTTGGTCCCGGCTCCCCCAAAGAGAGCCAGGTCCAGCCCTGGCTACCCATTATGTGAAGATGAGGACCCAGAAGAGAGGCTGAACAGGCATGATCAGCACATCACTGCTGTCTTAACTAAGATAATTGTGCGTCTCATCCTGGCTGAATGGGCAAAGGGTCCTAGGGTAGCAAGGATATTAGGTGGGTGGTTAGGGTAAGCCTTATGAATGGAGGGTGCTTCAGAAAGGGAGACTTTTCCCCTATGGCAGTCTGGTTGGGGGCTTGGTTAGAATCACTCTGCCCTAAAGCAAGGTAAGCTCCTGATCTCCCAGAATGAAGTTCTAATCTTATAGAGCAAGGGCTAGTGGGATAGTCTAGCTTGTGGAGGTCTCTTAGTTGTCCTTCACTACTTTGTGCTTTCTTGCTATAGGAACGAGATACAAGTTCTATGGCTGTGCATCTGCCTGTGCCCAGTGGCGTTGCTTTCCCCCCTGTATTTCATCGCTCACAGGAGAGACGGGTGGGCAAGGTAAGCCTAGGTGGTACTTTGGAGTAGCGTATCTTCTCTAGATTGTTTTTTGTTTGTTTGTTTTGGGGGGTTTTGAGAAAATGTCTCACTCTTTCATCCTGGGTAGAGTGCTGTGCATGCAAGGCATCATCATAGCTCACAGCAACCTCAAACTCCTGAGCTCAAGCAATCCTCTTGCCTCAGCCTCAGCCACCTGAGTAGCTGGGGCTACCGATGTGTACCACCATGCCCCTCTAGTTTTGTTTTTGTTTTTTCTTTTTGCGACAGAGCCTCAAGCTGTCACCCTGGGTAGAGACAGCTCACAGCAACTTCCAATTCCTGGGCTTAAGCGATTCTCTTGCCTCAGCCTCCCACATAGCTGGGACTACAGGTGCCCGCCACAATGTCTGGCTATTTTTTGGTTGTAGTTGTCATTGTTTGGCAGGCCCAGGCTGGATTCGAACCTGCCAGCTCTGGTGTATGTGTCTGGCACCGTAGCCACTTGAGCTACAGGCGCCGAGCCTAGTTTTTTTGTTGTTGTTGTTTGTTTTTTGAGACAAAGTCTAACTATGTTACCCTCAGTAGAGTGCCATGATGTCACAGCTCACAGCAACCTCAAACTCTTGGGCTTAAGCAATTTTCTTGCCTCAGCCACCCAAGTAGTTGGGACTACAGACACCTGCTACAATGCCCGCCTATTTTTTGGTTGCAGTTGTCATTGTTGTTTAGCTGGCCTGGGCCAGGTTTGACACCAGCCTAGGTGTATGTTACTGACACCATAACCACTGTGCTATGGTTGATAACCATCCTCCTAGTTTTTTTTTTTTTCCCTAGTTTTTAGTAGAGATGCAATCTTGCTTTTGCTCAGGCTGGGCTTAAACTCCTGAGCTCAAGCAGTCCACCTGCATTGGCCTCTCAAGAGTGCTAGAATTATAGGTGTGAGCCACCATCCCCAAACTTCAAAAGGCATTTTTTTTTTTTTTTGAGACAAAGCCTCAAGCTGTCCCCCTGGGTAGAGTACCGTGGCGTCACAGCTCACAGCAACCTCCAGCTCCTGGGCTCAAGCGAGTTTCCTGCCTCTGCCTCCCAAGTAGCTGGGACCACAGGCGCCCGCCACAACACCCGGCTCATTTTTGGTTGCAGCCGTCATTGTTGTTTGGTGGGCCCGGGCTGGATTCGAACCCGCCACCTTGGGTGTATGTGGCTGGTGCCTTAGCTGCTTGAGCCACAGGCGCCGAGCCGTCAAGGCATTTTTAATAATAATAAGCAAGTCTATTTATAAAGCAGTACCATACTAAGCACTTCATAGATAATGCTTCTTTCAATCCTTATAAGAACATATAAGGTAGGTGTCATGATGATACCTCCAGTATGAGGGGACCTTGTTCTTATTTTTCAGATGAGGAAAACTGAGACCCTCAGAGAGATAAATAACTTGTCCAACACCACTAATGTAATAAGTAGAAGAGCCAAGGTTTCAATTCTCAAGTATGTCAGATTTTAAGACTTTTACTCCTGTAGAGCTCTCTTTTTTCTAAAGACTAGGGTATGATCTCTAGAGCTAAGTCCCTTTTATCTCTTTGTTCCAGAGACCTTGGTATAATGGGGTTGAGAGGAGAATGGGATAATGAGCCTTAGTAACCTGGATTTTATTTTTGTGCCATAGGAAAAGTCAGCAACATCTGCTAAGAGGAGCATCTTTGCCCAGGAAATTGCAGCAAGGAGGGTGTCTGAAGCTGGGGAAGTTGTGTCCAACCTGGACCCACCAGGTGGTGAGCTTGGCTTGGCCTTTGGAAGAGGCTTTGGCTTGGCCTTTTTTGTTTGTGGAGACAGGTTTTCACTCTGTTGCCCTGCCAAGAGTGCAGTGTTATAGCTCACTGTAGCCTTGAACTCCTGGGCTCATGCAATGCTCCTGCCTCAGCTTCTTGAGTAGTTAGGATTATAGGCATGTACCACCACTCTCAGCTAATTTTTGTTATTCTTTGTAGAGACAAGATCTCACTATGTTGATCACGTTGTTCTCGAACTCCAGATATGTACCACCATGCCCTGCTAGTTGAAGTAGAGACCGATGGGGTCTCTATTCTGTGCCTGGGAAAGCTCAGGTCTATACCTATCTCCTGGCCTGAGAAAATCCTGCTTCCTCTGCCTCCCAATGTGCTGGGATTATAAGTGTGAGGGTCCATGCCCTGCCTTGGCCCTTTTAAAAGATATGATGATAGGGTCAATTTTTTTTTTTTTGAGACTGAGCCTCAAGCTGGGACTACAGGCGCCTGCCACAAGGCCTGGCTATGTTTTGGTTGCAGCTGTCACTTGTTTGGCAGGCCCGGGTTGGATTTGAACCCACCAGCTTAGGTGTATGTGGCTGGCGACTTAGCCACTTGAGCCACAGGCGCCGAGCCCAAAATCACAGTTTTTTT